TCGGTAATTTGAAGTAACGCGGTTTTTCTTCCTTCAAAATATTTTATGTACATACAATAGGAGTCATGTTGATACTTACGATATATTATATGGAGATCGTTGTCATTCCATTCCGTCTTCGAAAAAATCAGTTGATGTAGGCTGTGTGCTTGTACTCAAACTAAGCTTGACTTGAGGACATGTTAGTTTGTTATGCCCCTCACCGTTGCAGTACCCACATCGCCTAATTTTCTTATCGACCTTGTTCTTCGGCACTTCTTTTCGCTTGCGTTGTTTTCGTTGAGGGTCACGAACATTGTTTACTACAATGCTCTGGTTGACTGAATGATTCAAACCAAACGAGTTTTCTAATTCTTCTATTAGTTTTTTCATCTCATCTCTTGCGGTTTTGAAAGACTCGTCTGTCTTTGATGCAATGTAGCATAACCTACTTGACGTTGAACGTAGAGCAGCGAACCTTGCCATTTGCATCACTTCTGGAGACACATTCAAATCAACATAGCTGGGTGCAGAAGCCTTCGCATCATTAGTCCACCTACTTTGAATCAAAGTCCCGGGCAAATATGTGTAGTCCAATTGCTTCAAATGTGAAGTTGATGGCGACACGGAAGTCCAACGGTCTCGAATTTTTGCAGGAGCAAATTAGAGTTTTCGTACGAGAATCAAAACTAATTTCAAATTTCCTATTTTTTTCTGCGTACTTTGACAAAATATAATGTTGACATTCATCTGATAAGGACTTAATCTCTGCCTCAATCCGGTACAATGTCTCCCGTATAAGTTCATCTTGGAACACACGAAAAGATTCGCGGGTAAAAATCGCAGCGGCATGGCTTTCAAGGTCGACCAGTTTTGTGATCTGGAAGGGCTTCGTATGGGAACTTAAGTAATCCGCTTTCAACTCGTTCATACGCATTCTACTAATTCCATCTTCAATTGCACGAACAACATCTAAATATGTCTTCTTGTGTTTCAGTGCAATAGCTAGTGAAGCATTCATAGACTCGCACCTTTGTGTTGAGCGAAATTGGCAAAGAAATGACCGGTTAGATATGCTTGTGCCCATAAGTGTCGTGTATTTCCCTCTCAATCACCCATGGATGCTTTTGGACGTTGAATTCTGAAACAATCGAACGCCATTGAATATCAAATTCCTTGGTTGTCCACCAGGAAGCCATGCATTTTGAGAATGCTGCTGTAAACTTTGGGTCACCAATGTTAGCTTGTGCATTGCGAGAAAGATGCCAAGAACATAATCTGTGCTTAGCATAAGGGATAACAGATTTGATAGCCCTCTGCATTGCCCTATCCCCATCGGTTACAACAGAAATAGGTGATTTATTCATCATGGCTTCTAAAAAATTCTGTAGCACCCACTCGAAAGATTGAGACGTTTCGTCAGCGATTATGGCAGTGGCAAACACAATTGTGTTATGGTGATGATTGACACCAACAATAGGCATAATTGGTCGACCATACAAATTATCTTTGTACGTTGTGTCGAACGCAATTACATCACTGAAGCATGTGTAATCCGATCTCGATGTAGAATCCGACCAAATAAGATTATACAATGCCCCCGATTCGTCTACCGAGTATGTCATAAAAAACCCGGGATCATCATGTTTCTTATAATCAAAGTAGGCAATAAGCGCATTCACATCCCCATCGACGATTTCCTTTGCTTTACCTCTTTGAAGTGCATTGTAGAGGTCTTTATGTGTAAATCCAACATTATGATAGCCCCCTGCCTGCTGCGTTAAATAGTTCATTACTTGTGACGTGCCAACACCGACCTCTTTCAATGTTGTTGCCTCATCGATATCAGCCTTACTTACAGCTCTATTAGAACGCATAAATGGTGTCATAGCAGATGTGCACAATGCATGATTATGTTTCTGATCAGACTTACTTATAACCCACTGATCGTTTGTATTTGTTGCTGTAACTACGACTCTAGCCTTACATCCTGTTCTTGTGACTGGCATATGAGCACGTTGACGATCAACAGTATTGACTTTTGATACTCGAAACCCTTCTTTGGAACAACAAAATTCTTGTGTCTTCACATTCCCTTCCACGTCAAGCCGTGTTGTTCCCTTACGTGCACTAAACCCATGTTCCCGTGCGAATCCCTTGTAAAAGTGCCAAGCTTGATCACGTGAACAGAAGAGCTGACCAACCAATCTGTCAGATTCATCAACATTATGTACTTCATGGCATTCCTCGGTTGGCTTAACATTGTCTACATCAGTATTATCCATGGCAAAAATTTTGTTGTGCAAGTTCAGTGCTCCAGGAGTTGATGGATATGTAAACAAAGGTTCATTTTGAACATGTTTCTGTCGTGCTGCTTTCAATAGGATGTGTCATTGGTAGTGGTAGTTAAAGGGTGGGTACAACATTAAATTCGCAGTACATATTTAGGTATGTACAATAACTACAAGTATATTATCATTAAATTTAGGTATGTATAATAACTACATATTTAGGTATGTTTGTTAACTACTATTTAGGTATATACATCTTTTGAGTGAGTTTTAAGATATTAATTTAGTAATTATAGGCGTCTAATGATTTATTTTTTACATTACGGTATATTATTATTAAATTAAAAATTCTAAATAATATTTTATAAAATATCAAAACAATCAACTAATTTTTTGTGCAAATGAAATTATTAAATCAATATTGTATGTGGAAAACATGAAACACTGTTAAAAAAATTGAAACATAAATTACATAACTTTTAAAAAAGTATCGATCCTTTTATAAAAAGTATGGACACTTTCAATATAATAGGTAAACATATGATGTAATAGGTAGCCCTTATATAATGTAATAGGTATCGTTTATATAATGTAATAGGTAGTGGTTATATTGTAAAGTGTCTATCCTTTTTATAAAAGTGTCCATACTTTTTTCACTGTGGAAAACATTAATTTAAGGTTATCTTTTGAGTGAGTTTTAAGATATTAATTTAGTAATTATAGGCGTATAATGATTTATTTTTTACGTTACGATATATATTATTATTAAATTAAAAATTCTAAATATTATTTTATAAAATATCAAAAACAATCAAATAATTTTTTGTGCAAATGAAATTATTAAATCAAATAATTCAAATTGAAAATTAAACAACAAATCAATTAAACATTGTTGTGGGTACATTAATTGAACATTGTTATGGGTACATTATTTGGAAAAATAATGTTCCGGACTTTGTTAGAAATAACTCTTTTTCATTGGATTAATTTCGTTGAGATGGGTTATGTATAACAAAACAATCTATCTCGCATGTGAGTACTTTATTCCAACCATGTGACAAGTGTGACAACTCCATCAACTCACAACTCAGCTTTGAACTCAATCAATATTGTCTTTTAGCTTGATGGTTCATAAAGCATGTTACTTGAACAGTATGAATCAATTATGCAATTTTCATGTTCAATTTAACACTGCATTTCAAATTCATTTCATATGTAATTGGAGTTTGAATTTAAATTTCAATTTGAGTTTGAATTTCAATATATATTTCGGCTCCACTATAAATATTAGCCCAAGCCAATATGCATGTTATCATTGATTATTCCTAATTTCCATTGTTTTTTTTCCAACGTATAAACGCGAGGGAAATCCCGACCATTTTATTTTTTGGTCAACTTTAAAGCGTCAGAAACGTTTCGGGCGTATGATCTGGGTGGTATACAAGAAATGTAACAAATAGCAACTAAAATCATAAGTTGAGTACCACCCAAATCATAAGTCTGAAATACTTCCGATGCTCATCAAAATCCAAAGCTCATATGGTGCCAAGCAAAAGGAAATCAAAATCCAAATCTCATATGATGCCAAGCAAAAGGAAATCAAAATCTACAACTTGAGTTTGAACATTGATATGATATGTTCAGTTGTTATCATGTTGGGATTTTCTCGTTTTTGATTGCTTGGATAGTTGTTCTCTTGCTTCTTCAAGTGTTCTTAAGGTTATCCTTTGAGTGAGTTTTAAGATATTAATTTAGTAATTATAGGCGTCTAATGATTTATTTCTTACGTTACGATATATTATTATTAAATTAAAAATTCTAAATATTATTTTATAAAATATAAAAACAATCAAATAATTTTTTGTGCAAATGAAATTATTAAATTAATATTGTAGGTGGAAAATATGAAACACTGTTAAAAAAATTGAAACATAAATTACATAACTTTTAAAAAAAGTATCGATCCTTTTTATAAAAAGTATGGACACTTTCAATATAATAGGTAAACATATGATGTAATAGATAGCCCTTATATAATGTAATAGATATCGTTTATATAATGTAATAGGTAGTGGTTATATTGTAAAGTGTCTATCCTTTTTATAAAAGTGTCCATACTTTTTTCACTGTGGAAAACATTAATTTAAGGTTATCTTTTGAGTGAGTTTTAAGATATTAATTTAGTAATTATATGCGTCTAATGATTAATTTTTTACGTTACGGTATATATTATTATTAAATTAAAAATTCTTAATATTATTTTATAAAATATCAAAACAATCAAATAATTTTTTGTGCAAATGAAATTATTAAATTAATATTGTAGGTGGAAAACATGAAACACTGTTAAAGTATCGATCATTTTTATAAAAAGTATGGACACTTTCAATATAATATAATGTAATAGGTAAATTTGCAATGCTATCGGTATAAATATACCGATTTACTTATAAAATAGGTAAATATAAGCGCTACCTATTACATTATATAAGCGCTACCTAGTATGTTATTGTACTTTATAATATTTCCGGTTAAATAATATAACATAACCGGTCTAAATTTTAACCGGTCACTTGTTTAACCGGTCACGCCGTATATTAACCGTATTTTAGGCGCTGCAGAACTACCCTTGATTGGTGGGGGACGCATGTCGTTAATTTGACTTGCTTACGCGGAATAAATTGGCCCAACTCCATACTACGTAGGACTCGACACTCGAGCCGACCAAACTTTGGGGACTTCAAGGACAATCCAATGGCGATATTTCAAGTTCTCTATTTTTCAACGGTGTTAGCTAGTTGCTTGAAAGCTTTTTGCACTAAATAACCTCCACCCTTTATGCCCCATGATGCTCCATAGCCAGCCACCATCCTTTTGTCCTTTTTTGCTTCTGATTTTTCCCTAGTGTCTTCCCCTTTTCTTTGTTCTTCATCGTTCTAAACAGACCCTTTGTTGGGACCCTTCAAGGGTTCTTTCTTTTTTTTTCTTTTTTCGATGAATTGTTTCTGTGACAGAGAAGAAGCAAGCTCTGGGTTTTTTTTTCAAAGCCAGGAACCATAGGTAAGTAAAAGAAGAAAATTAAGAACCATTTATTTATTTATTCATTTTAATTTGTTTACTTTGAACTTTTGTTCACTTGGGTTCTTTGACTTTGTAGTTGGGTAAAATTCAACTGCCCAATTATGATTGTCGTCTGTGATTCATTGAATGAGGATAAAGATTCAAACTTTAAGCAGAGTTTCAAAAGATATTTGGCAATAATTATAGATAATCAGATATTAGATATAAACTATGGAAAATCAGGTCTCCCATGTGCATGCATATCTCTTCATTTTTTTTTCTGAATCTAATCTTTTTTATATTGATTTCAGGGTTCTTCATGTTTTGATCTGTCTGTATGTGAATGATTGAAGTGTTTGGTTCAAAAGAAAATCAGAAACATCAAAGGAAAAAGAGGGGGGAAAAGCAGTTTCTTTTTGTTTTGTAAGCTTGCATTTAGGGAGGCAAAAGGAACCATGGAAAAAGAGCTAAGCTTTGAGAAGAAGAAGATGACAAAGCAATTGACGAGTAAAAAGGACGATACGCCGCTGCACTCGGCGGTGAAAGCAGGAGATTTCGAATTGGTTTTGGAGATGATTAGTGGTAGTGGTGAGGATGGAGAGTTGAAGGATTTGTTGTCTAAGCAGAATCAATCTGGCGAAACCGCCTTATATGTTGCTGCTGAATGTGGCTATGCTGATTTGGTGAAGGAGATGATGAAGTACCATGACATTGTTTTGGCTGGTGTTAAAGCAAGGAATGGCTTTGATGCTTTTCATATTGCTGCCAAGCAAGGGGACTTGGGTGAGTTCGTTTGCTTTTCGCTCCGTATTTATGTCGGATATGATATTAAGAACAATTATGGAAATTGAACCCTGCAATTTGTTTAGCAAATATCTTATGTGGTATTTCTGTTTTTCGGGTTTAAACACTTGCAAGATCGGTAGTGAACAATGTACTTTTGTTGTTGTTTATCAGAATATCATCGAGGATCGACATATATATATATTTCTGAATCCTTTCTCTCTAATGTCTCAGAGGTATTGAAGATTTTCATGGAGGCCAATCTTGATCTTTCGATGACTTTTGATTCTTATAACACCACAGCATTGCACACTGCTGCATCACAGGGCCACACTGAGGTGGTGAATTTCCTCTTGGAAAAAGGCAGCAATGTGGCCGTGATAGCGAGGAGCAATGGGAAAACCGCCTTGCATTCGGCGGCTAGAAATGGGCATCTAGAGATTGTTAAGGCCCTTTTGTCTAGAGAACCTGGAATCGCGACAAGAATTGACAAGAAGGGCCAGACGGCTTTGCATATGGCTGTTAAAGGACAGAATGTTGAAGTGGTTGATGTGCTGATAAAATGGGATCCGTCTTTAATAAACATGATTGATGCTAAGGGCAACACAGCTTTGCACATAGGAACTCGAAAGGGTAGGATTCAGGTACTGAGGATTGAACTCTTAGTAATTGTTCTCTCTTTAGACTTTCAGGATTGAACCTTCTGTAAATGTGAACCTTCTGATCACTAATTCAATCTTTTAGATTGTTGAAAAGCTGCTAAATGACTGTGGAGTTCACAAAATGGTCATCAACAAGTCCGGGGAAACGGTTCTCGACACTGCAGAGAAGAATAAGCTATCTGATATGGCATGTATCTTAAAAGAGCATGGAGTCCAATCTGCCAAATCCATCAAGCCTCATCCTGCAAATTCAGCTCGAGAACTAAAACAAACTGTAAGTGATATAAAGAATGGAGTTCATAACCAGCTAGAGCATACACATAAAACAAGAAAACGCGTTCAAGGAATTGCAAAGCGGCTCAACAAAATGCACGTCGAAAGTCTCAACAACGCTATCAACTCCAGCACGGTGGTCGCTATTCTCATCGCCTCTGTTGCATTCGCTGCCATCTTCAACGTCCCGGGCCAATACACCGACAGTCCCAGTGACATCTCACCGGGTGTCTCCCCCGGACAAGCGAGAATCGCCGTGAAACTGCCGTTCATGATCTTTGTTGTCTTCGACTCCATAGCCCTCTTCATATCGTTGGCTGTCGTAGTAGTGCAGACCTCGATTGTAGTCATACAGAGAAAGGCAAAGAAGCAGATGATGGCAGTTATTAACAAGCTCATGTGGTTGGCGTGTGTGCTGATTTCAGTGGCGTTTCTCGCCCTCTCGTATGTCGTCGTCGGAGAAGACGAGAGGTGGTTAGCGAACCTTATTACCGGTATAGGGACTGTTATCATGGTATCGACATTGGGGACGTTGTGTTATTGGGTGGTCGTGAACCGTATAGAGGCTTCCAGAACTCGAAGCCTCCGTAGGTCTTCGATGACCAGCAGAACTCAGTCATTACCGACACCGTATACGTCCGACACAGAGATTCTAAACAATGAGCACAAGAAACTCTATGCGGTTTGAGTTTTAATACACTAGAAACTCTTCATCTCACGTTTATAGAGTTGACTGACCGTAGCAGAATGGCAGCAAAAACAGCAGATAACATGTAGACATTTCATTTTTGTGGTTCAACAGATGAAGAAATCAGTCAGTGAGTTGGCTTGATTATCCATCAGCAATGTTATATTTAACTTACCGGTGCTTTTTACTCGCTTGTTAGTACTATTGATTTTGAATGCAATATTTCTCAGGATTCCAGGTAAGATTAGTACTGCTACAGTCTACACTAGCAGGAAATTACTGCAATCGTTTACTGGGTTTTCAGAGATTTTCTCAAATAACACCATTAATGGCCTTAGGCAAGCTCTTGTTAGGTCACACTTCCTAGCCTGAAGAACATTAACAGCTCGGTCTTAAAGATATATGCATAGGACGCAGTTGGTTCTTATCGTGTATTAAAATTGTGGCCCAATTTCTTCTTAGATCAGACCATAAAATTACAATCAAAACAGTAAGCAGTTTTATGTGGTTAGAGAGTTATATCAGTTTGTTAACTCTACTTCTTCAACATAATGTAGGAACTTTCCCATGCGAGCTTTCTTTTGTTTATTATCCCTATAAATAGAAAGAAGGGAATAAGGTTGTGTGCTGGTAGAGTTATAATAGTTGAATAAATTTTGTACTTGTTCAACATAGTGAAACTTTTTCCGCTTCCCGTGATTCTTTCTTTTTTGGGTTTCCCACCTAAGTTTTGATGTTATTTGTTTTTTTTTCTATCGTGTTTGTTTGTTGTTCCGATAACTATATCATCGTACAAAACGAAATTCTTAAAATTAGATTTAATTTTCGGTATAATGCCATAAAATTATCTCAATGTTTGATTAAATAGTCACTTTAACCACTATTTTTTTTAAAGGATTTCGATCCCAACATTTCATTTTAGGATTTAAGACCCTTGACTAAATAGCAACTTTGATACCTACTCTTTTCTTTTGGGGCATTTTGCTCTTAATATTTTATTTTAGGACAAAAAGATCCTTATTTTAGAACGTTGTCAATTTATTAACTAACAGTTTTCATCCACATAGATGTCTTTTTGTCCCAAAGTAAAACGTTGAGGACCAATATATTCTCAAAAAAATAAGGGTCGAAGTTACTAATTAATCAAACATTATATGCATTTTTTTAAATTATAGCTTGGTTTTTTCCACTTGAACTATCTATTTATACAAGATGAACCCCAACAAAACATTTGAAGTTCACCAAAGAATACAAATGGGGTGAGCAAGTCATAAGAACATGAAGTAAATCAGAATAATCTCTTACATATGGGGCAATTTACGCTATTGATCATCTCCTCAGTATAACTAAACTGCATTCTTTAAGCAATCTATTATCTTAATCGATATCCGGCAACGGCACTTTCCAAAAGTTCCATGAGTTATAATCCTCCTGCAATGGTATTAGAATATTGTCGATATCATGAATGCTCCAAAACAAATAAGGGACAGTTGCAGACAATTTTTGGTTTTGTTCTTTTACATTTTATCTGACGAAGTGAGACATTAACGCCTTACCTGCTCAAGCAATCTTGTTGGAGGAAACATGTCGTGAACAAGAGTATGTAGTGATGTATATGATTTCGTGTTCATACAATGACTTGTAACCACCTCACCCTGCCAGTTTCGAGTCGGATTGTTAGAAAGTCGATATGGTAACCCCGAGATATGTTTTGGTCAATATTCGTTAGTGTTTTCCTCATAAGTAGGACATGGAGAATGTGTACCTTTGGGTTAATAATAAATCTCTTTCCCGTTGGGATCCCGATTTCTCTGTAACTTAAGTCATCTGTGTCTCGGTTTCCAAAACCAGCATAAAATGGATTATAGTCGGAAGGGAAAAGTTTCCTGATATCCTGCTATACACGTATACGAAAGAATTCATACGTAAAGGGACTGATCGGTAATGGTTATGTTCGATATTGAGAAATAAGGTTGAGTGTTTCAGAATTCACCTCCAAACAAGCTATTTTGAATTCATGGGGCGTTCTTCTTATCACTGCCATGAATAAGATGGAAATAGAAAACTATATCAGATTGGAATTCAATGTACAAATCGAAATACAGCCTTAAGACTGATATAAATGAAAATAGATATCGCAACTTCTATAATTTATAGGTTCTGCGATGAAATGTAATCAGAGCATTGTCCCCCTCACGTTGCTGGAGCCGCAAAATTATGATGAGAACTTAAAACAAATAGCTGATTACTTCAACAACAAAAAAAATGTAGAGAGAGAGAGAGAACCAAGATCTCACCTTCACGGTACAATGAGGGAAACAAACCATCAGGAGAAATAACAACAGGTCCAGTCGGTAAAGCTTTTCCGTCCTACATAATTTCAAAGTTAGACCATTTTAACAATATGGTTTCCAAATTTAACTTGTCGCTTTGGTTGATATTTTCGCCATTGCCTTTTTTGTTTTCTTGAGGAAAATATAAATCATGGTCAGGTTATTAGAATACCTGTTTCAGGTTAAGTAAAAAATTTCTGGTAAAATATGCCTGAACTATTGCACGTGCACTGAGAAATAGAAGTTGATACCCATTCTCCTGTCGTGGACAAACAATTTAGTATTTGATATCAGATACCGAAGGAATCATCTAGTTAATAGGAATGCCAAACAGGATAATGTTCACATTATCATAACACTAGGGTTGTGAAAAGTTATCATATAAACTTGCATTAGAAAACCTGAAGGGATATATCATCATTTACATTGTTCGGAATTTTATAAATAAGAAACAGTAAAAGCAAATCATAAGGAAACACGAGACAAGTTTTCTTTCAGTTGCGGTAAATCTAAAAAACGGCAGGGCAATTTCTAGATCTAGTTATGCATGACAGTCTACAGAAGAATGACATCTCAATTAAGTCAAGTCGAACAATGAAACAATGAGAAAAGGCACACCTTAATGGCAGAAAAAAGATGAGCTACACCAGTTTGTGTCCAATCCCTTCCAACTAAAGGCATAAACTGGCCTAAAACGACAGACCTGAAAGAAACATGTCATGGTTATTGGAATGCCCATCCTGTATTTCAGTATACATGAGGAAAGATTTCACAACAAATTAGTTCTAGAATGCTCATTCCTGATTCAATACTAATGATAATAATGAAAGGTATAATTTCAGCTTTGAATGCAAGCATATGGTTTATATTTCGCTTTTCCTTTCATAGTCCAGTATAATTCATTAGTTCCAACGTCATCATAGTCATATCATAGTGATAGTTTAGACAGGTCAATATTAATGGATGAAACAAGAAAACTTTAAACAATCTAGAGTGATAATATCATGAGATAGAATCCTTACTTGGTAATTGTTCCATCCACATCTGAGATTACAATCTTTGCATTCCACTTCCACAAGTAAAGATGTGCATCAACCTGTTAAATATGCACAGATTGTTTAGGCTAAGATTTGAGCATAGCACAATCCTAGGAAACCGACCAGAAGAATTGAGTAGTAAACAATTCAAACCTGTTGTGTTCCCAGAACCCTGGTGGAGAAACTGAAAGTAATCATATTTCGACCATCTTTCAGATTCAATGAAGCAATCTGCTCGTTAGTGGGAATATTTGTCCTCACAAACTTTTTTCCGGGAGATTCAATCCTTGTAGTGGATGCTGGAATTAAATCTGATGGAGAATCTTGTTGAGAAGATTTGGTATCAATAAATGTCTCCTCACTAGATAAATTGCTGCCGCTCTTCTCAAGTGTTTTGACCCTTGTTAAGGAACTAGGCCAGAGCCTCCATCTATGGTTAGAAGGTTGAGAAGTGACAATAGAATCATCATCTTTTGGTTTCAATGACTCATCCTGTTCAACATGGATTGCATCTCGGGGCTCAACAGCTAACTCTAAACCAAATGCAGCCATTCCAAGTACAATAGGAGCAGCTTTTTCCCATGGCAAGTACATCTCTTTGAATCGGATGATAAGATTTGCATTCTTAATAATTGACATTGCATTATTTTTGTATTCCTCTTCTGGTACGCGGTGTGCTTCAAAGATTTCTGCTGCAGCATCTAATCCCATACCCACATGAAGTTCATTCCCACAGAGTGAGATCTCAAATCCTGGAAATATAAGGTGAGAATCAGAGAAAAAAATAAGAGAGTTAAATATAATTAAAGGAGGCAAAGCCTATAGTTCCTTACCCATGCTCGCATGAGCTGCTATCTCTTTAGCACAAGTTGTTTCAGTTTCCACAATCTTAATTTCACTACTCTTATCCTCAAGTGCACGAATTTGCAGGCTGCCATTCGCCCCTTCAGTTGATGTTGATGTACCAAACTGTTCATCTCTCAATTCAGGTTCATTAATAACCAAATTAACAGATGTATTGTTACAGTCCAGAAAATCTGTTTCTGACACTTTCTTTTCAATTGGTAAATCCGGAAATCCATTTTGATATGAAGAATTGGACCTACAAGAGGAAGACTGTACATCTTTATTTCGGGAGTCACCAATAGCTCTATTTTCAATTTCACCAACTTCTGGAGGGCTGCAAGGAGGTTTATCTTTTGAACTCTGAGCTTGCAGTAGGCTATTCATTTCTTCAGAATTGGTATTTTCACTATGTCTTCCCAGTTCAGATAGTCCAAGGCAGCTCTTAGAAACATCCTTGTTAACATGCACAGATGCATCTTCAACTTCACTTTTCCCAATAAATTTATTTTCTTGGTTAAAAAGGTTTTGAGTTTCTTCAGTTTCACAGGCATGTTCCTCCCCTTCTTTACAAACTTCTTGATGGTGTCCTGAAGCAGTAGAATCACTGTTCAAACTGAAAACAGTATCAGAGGAATCCTTAGGTGCTACAGAATTGAGCTTACAAGTATAGTCAGCATCCGACACATTGTCACCTGAACTAGATTCCCCATTACCCTCACAAAAGGGAGGTCCTTCACCTGGTCCTATATGGAATAGAGGCTTGCTTAGTTGCACATTTTCAGCACTCTCGTCTGATGCCGAAACAGGAGCTGTAATTATATGGCCATCCACACTGAACAAGACGACTTCTGAACCTAAACCTTGTGCTTCACCAAAAGACACACAATCCAAATCCTCTTGAGAGAACTGATCATCTTGAAAGTCATAGAAAATAGTATCAGATTCTACCCTTTCAAGCCGGTTTTGACTTGTGCCATCAGAATCATCCCTCAATTGATCCAACTCAGAATCCGAGTCAATTCCATCATTTGAATCTTTGGAATCTCCACTTGTCTCAATTCCTTCACCGGAATCAACCACCCTTAAAAAATATGCTTGCCCGGAATTATCAAGACACATATGAAAATCTGCTTCAACGCCATTAACAGTTATACGAACAACCTTCTCGGCCCCTTTTAGAACACCCTGAAACTTCCCAAACCGAACATACCAAGGTGTACTCCGAAAAGTCCCATCTGGTTGCTGAACAACAATTATATCAACGGCTCCACCAAAGGGATGGAAAGGAGTTAACAAAAATCCTTCTGCAGATGAAATGGATCCACAAATCAATAGAAAGATCCAATCTCCTTCTGCTCAACAATATGTATACTTCCTCTCAGGTATCTGCACTCGATTCAAATTAAAACGGAGCTAACATTAAACCATAAGATGTTCCCTCTTGACCAGCAAAAGAACCAAATGAAAAAAATGGAAAGCATGCCTCGAAATCTATCAAGCTGCCACTTCCATACCAAATACAAAAATCCAAATTTCACGAATATTATATGAAGTATAATAATTCCAATATATAATGTTAAAACATATTTCTCATAAAAGAAGTCAAGTTGAACCTTTAGAAACTCAAGAAATTAAAAATAAATTAACAAAATGAAAGCTCCAACTATTTTTACTCCAATTTTCTCAGCAACCAAACAGAAAACAGACATCGGTGATACAGTTATAGTAATCAAATATGACCGATAACAGACAGACAGCAGTGAATATTAACGGCGAGAACTGTAGAAAATCAAACCAACACTTTCTAACTAGAAGCAAATACAGAAATATACAATCAAAGTCAGCCATGAAACTTACAGATGAAAAGTAGCGCGACCAATTTCTTTTTTCCCGCGAAGGATCGAACTCTCTCGGCCAGAAACCAAAACAAGTTCTAAGATTATCTCTTTATTGTGATTAATGAATGATGACGCAATAATCCGACGCCGTTCGGATTCTCTGACGGCTCAACTCTTTGTTTTGTTTAGGGAAAAAAACGAGTCAGCAGATGGCAAATGGGGGCTAACCGTAACCGCCACTCAATAAATATCTGATGAACCGAAAAGACAAGATTGCTCATCTGTTTTGCATTGACAATGCGTAACGAAACGAGAAATATGACGTGTGGATTATGACTAATGGAAGGGTAACTTAGGTATTTTGCTTTCTCATGCTTCTTCAAGTCTTAATGATCATCTTGCATTTATCTGTACGACAGGAACAACATTCTAATCATTGAAACTTCCGTTACACAATTATTAAGCATAATATCAAAATTACCGTTAATTAAAATAATTATTTTGACTTATTTTTTAAGTATTTTAGCCATAACATTTTATTTTAGTGTAAAAGTATTTCTCTATGGATGAAAATCATTAATTATCAAATAGTTAGCGCTCCTAAATAAATGTTTGTTTACCTTAAATAAATTGGGTCAAAATGCTCCATAATATAGAAGAATAAATGTCAAAGTGATTGTTTAATCAAATTTTAGGGATCTTTTTATACTAAAATGGGATGTTAGGCCAAAATGCTCAAAAATTAATAGGAGTCAAAATGATCTTTTTAACAGTACTAAGATTAATTTTGACATTACGCCAAATTATTAAAGTATCATTTATTTTACTTCTATTTTCTTTTTTATAACCATCAAAATATGATTTATTTATCGATTAATCTGGACCAGGTTTTGCAAAAACAAGGATGACACTCTCAAACTATTTTGCTCCATTCACAATATAACCTCCTCGACCCAGCCTAGGAGTTACAACTGAATCGGGGTGACCACGTTGGTCACATAAATGATCCACAAACAAAAATTATTTAATAAGTCATTTTGAAAACATTTACCGAATATGAAATCAGAAATAAACTCATTCCACATCTTAAAAGGGTTGAAAATAAAAATTAAACCCCATACAATATATAATTGAGACCACACATCCGATAGCCAAACTGATCTTATAACTGGATAACCTAAAAAAGAAAGACAAAAACAAAGTGAGCTACGAGGCCAAGTGTGTCCTCTACAGAAAAAAGATATCATTCAATATATAACATCATAAATAATGCGTAAACGGTAACATCATGATTTAATCATTAGATGCAACATCAATAATACATAACCATATCTTTCGTCACAGATAAACAGAATGGGAACGTTACCATCCGAAGAGGAAAACAAGTAAGAATATAGAAATCAGGATGGGGATCTAGCCCTCCAAAGAGGATCCCAAATAGAAACAAGACGGGGATATAATTCCATGCAGATTCAAGACGAGAATATAAATCCCATGCAAAATTAGGATGGGGACTAAGCCCATACAGAATTAGGACGGGGATTATTTTAATACCTCAAATTCTGTACTAGCGACTAAAATGTAAATTCGAAAGTTAGGTGGCCAGAGTATAAAGTTATAAAAGTTCAAGGACTAAAAATGTAAATTTTCAAAAGTTATATTTTGGCCCCGTAAAAGAATAGTTCAGCCCAAGAATAATATTTTAGTATATTTCAAATTTTTCAACTCATTCACAACAGACATCTGAGGAGCTCGAGGAGCAGATAGGGGAGGAGGCGGAGGAACATGTTGATAATGCTGCAAGATAAACTATAGTGCTTGTAGAAACGTCCCCTGATCTAGCGTAGACACTCCTTGAGGTTTCTGTGCTACCTGAGGTTTCGACTGAATATGAGGTTCAGTATTCACTTCATTGTTACCGATTCCTTTCGGAACCTCTTGTTACTCAATCGTTCTCCTCGACATTTCCGATTCAGACATTATTATACATACATAAAACTTATATTAGTAAGAAGCGACATCCAACATATAAACATCAGATCAGTAATTTTTTACATCCTAGTAGCATGTACAAACTTTAAACAACTTATAACTTCGGTTTAAGATGAGAATCGACTAAACATGTAGCTCTGATAATAATAAATGCAATATCCTTAACTCATATATGTCCTCGTATATGAGTCAAAGATGTCACATCAGTTAAATAAAACATTTATGGTTTCAAATTCAAAAGAAAAAAATTATTCTTTTAAAATTTTCATTTTAAATTTCAAAATAAAAACTAATTAATCGTATAAAATTTATAGAAATTGTCAGTATTAAAATTAAACTACGATTTTATAAAATACTATTGGTTTCTATTAATACTCATTTATAAAACTAACATATATGATTTAAATCAAAAGCAATTCAGACATATCGAATCAGAGCATCAAAATATAAATGTATACATGCCAACTAAAAAATATAAAAAAACATCGGAAAGACGTCATGTCACACCCTTTTTTTAATTTTAATTTACTAATTTTTGGGACCATTTTATAATATCTTAAAAATTCTGAGGCAGTTTTCAAGAAATCTTTTTTTTAATTTTTTAATTTTCTTTTTAACATTTTTTAATATTTTTTTATTTTCTTCTAAAATTTAATATTTTCTTCATTTTATTTTATTTTATTTATTTATTTTCTTTTAACCTTTTTTTTGTTTTTTTAATTTCTTCATTAACTTTTTTCTTCTTCTTTGATTTATTTAATATTTATTTTATTTTATAATCTAACGTTTTTGACTTTTTAGGGACAATTTTAATATATCAAAGGTAAGTAATTTGGATCGAATTTTAATTTTCAATTTAACTTTTAATTTTCGCAATTAAGACAACCGTGAAATTAAATTGGTACCGAAAGGGTAGTACAGGGGTGATAATCCTTCCTTGACTGTAATTGACTCTCGAACCCGATATATTTCTGGTAAAACACAGATCAGGTAAAATGATCAATTAATGTATCCGATCAACCTAATTTTAAATGATTGGTGGCGGCTCTAATGCATTTATTTACGTCGAAGCCAAATTCTGAGCCAACCCGAATGACAATTAGGACAACTTGGCGACTCTGTTGGGGAAGGTAAGTGAGGTAGACCAAAATTAATTTTCGGTTGTCTTCTCAAGCAAAAATTGTAAGTTTATATTTTAATTTATCTTTTCGATCCTTATTATTTATCTTTGATTATTTTTTTCAAATAAATAGTTGTATTGATGTTTTTGAATGATTTCAGCTTTTTCAAAAATTCATCTCAGGCTCTATATTTCAGCTCCAAACCCTTTAAGTGGAGGTGAAAGCGACGCCTTCGTGAGAATTTATTCTCCGTACAAGCCTAGCAAGTAACCTTCGGGATTCATATACCTTATGTCTTCGTGTGAATTTATTCTCCATATAGACATAAGGGAATGAGTCCTTTCGAGTTTAACTTGGTCCATATAAGATTGTAATGAGCTTAGGACTGAGGGTCTGACAAGTCCAATGGTGCACCAACAAGGATAACTCGGGTACCTTTTTTAGAACCTAAACCGGGAGACTACGAGGAATTAGAGCCCACCCCAAAAACTCCATTTCAAAACCTAGGATGCTTGAGTAATTTCCTGCTTAATTTTTGGTTCAAAGCATGCTAACTAGAAATATATGCAGTTAGGACTTGTTCAAAAATTAACATGTAGGATAGAGATCATGTTCGGGTAGGAATAAAAGCATGTGGGGTAGATATCATGTAGGGTAGAAATTTTTATTGTCATTATTATTTTGATTATTGTTTTGATATTATTAACTTGTTTCCCTTTCATTTTTGTTTTCTTTTATTTTTATCATTTGCATCATTTAAAGAGGTGTTGATTAGGGCTGTAAATGAGACGAGACAGATCGCGAGCTACTCAAGATCAACTCTATCAAGGCTCGATAAATACTCGGATCGAATGGACTCGACTCGAGCTCGACTCGAGTTCTTAACGAGCCGAAACAAGCTACTTGATATTCGACTTGAAAAGCTCGTGAGCAGCTCAAAAATATAATATATTAAGATTTTATTTTTTTTAAAAATAAATTATTAATAATATTAACATTTATGTATTGATTTTTTTTAAAAATACAGTAAGACTTTCATGTATTTAAGGTTTAGGTTCGAGTTTGAGGCTTCAATCGAGTTAAGTTTAAGATTTTTTTTCCATTTCGAGTCTTTTTAAGCTGCTTACGAGCTTTAGTTCAGGGTTTTGAGTTCGATTCGAGCTTGAAAATTTTAAACTTTTGAGTTTTCGAGTCGAGTCGAGCTCCATTTCAGAGTTTTTGAGTCGAGTCGAGCTCAACAATACTCAACCTCAACTTGACTGTTTACACCCTAGTATTGATCCACAAAAAGTGTTAGTTAAACTCAAATAATTTGCATTAATTGACAAAGGGGTTGTAATGCAAGAGGTGAAA